CTAATTTTTATCAATTACAAATATTATAATAACTACTAAAATCTCTTTAATTTGCCAATATACAATTATACAAAAGGATTACAAACAATAATTCATTAACAGTCTCTGGTTTTAAACTGGTCTGATCTTTGGTAATTTGATTTCCAGTATCACTAAAAAGCTGCTCACTTAGAACGTATGTGGCTGGTACACTTAAATATTTTCTAGCTATTTTAAATAAAGTTGAAAATTTCTTTTTATTATCAATCCACCATGAAATAGATCCATTTCGGCTAATGATATGTAATTCTGATATAATCTGATTTTGCGCGAGATGTCTAAAGATCTGTAGTTATAGCTGCTGTATTACAAGTATAAGTAATCATTTCCTTTATAGCCTAAAATGCAGCTTGATATCGTAACCAATATCTTTTTTGATTGTTACATAACATGGTGGCTTAAATGCAGGATCAAGCTTATTAATCATATGTAAAAATCCTTCTCCATTTGCTGAATTAAAAGGTTGAGAATCTGTTACTAGTCAATCAGCCAAAGCATTCCTTAATTCACGTTTCTTAGGTTCTTTATGTAGCATAACTTTTTTTATTTAATCATCTACTTTTAATTGTTTCTAAAAAGTAAAAATAATATATTAATTTAATATATATCTAACTGTAATAAAAATGCGTAAGGATAATGTTGTCTTACTAATTTTTCTTTTTCAACCACTTTATGAACAGAATTTAAATGATGTTGTTGAGTGCTGGTTTGAGTATTATACATGAACTATAATTACACTCTTCTTCTATTCCAGTTTTTAACATTTTATATCTGCAATAAACACGTCCGTCAGTTTTGATTCTAAAATGCTTCCACACTCAACTTGTTTTATTATTTCCAAGTTCAACCCACTGAGGTTCTTGTTGATTAATATCTGAAAATAAATCAACAATATTATTTCTTTTAGTTAACTGGGTCAAAATAATATTAGTTTAGCATTTATGTTTTCTATTCTGGTCTGGCATTTAAAAGGATATTAAAAAAAAATTTGAATTTTTCACGTTAAAATTAAACGCGTTGCAATGATTATCCGATATTTAAAAATTTAAATATTATAAATAAAAAATCTGATACTTTGAAATGCATTTTTATGACGAAAAAAACAAATCATATACAACTATAACTATTTTATTTGAAAAACTTCAATGTTAAAGACCAGTTGCTATGTCTTAAGAATAAAAAATTATTTCCTCCTTTACGAATATCATTGGACTTTAAAAGGAATATTTTTTTTTTTTTTTTTTTTTTTAATAATGTCATAATCGATCAAACATAATAATTAGATGAACCTTACTGTAAAGATCTTTTTAACTATGTATCTACCATTGCAGTATATGCATAATATAAAAGCAATTAAAAAAATGTATAATTTATTCAAAGTAATTTAGTTTAAGAAATATTTTGGAGTCAAAAAATAAATTTTTTCTATAAAAAGATAAATAAATAAAACAAATAAAACCAATTCTATTTAGAAAATGCCGCTTTAAAAATACTATCGACCATTCTTATGATAAAGTAATTTTGGATAGAAAATGTGAATATTTCCATTTCCTCGATGTCAAATTCAGAAATATCTAAAATTCTACTTTCATAATATTTTTGTTGACATTTACCTTTTTTCTTATAAACAACCAAATCGCTATAACCAAAGTTCAAAAAATTATGATTTTTCGATTCACACATTGCATAAGCACTATTTTCAACTCGACTAATCTTAACGATTCTTAAATCATTACTTTTACCCATAGAAAAAATGAAGTAGTCACGATTATCAACCCAATAATCAGTACCCCTAGGTGTGTCATTCAAATCTCGATCGGTGTTATTGTTCCTAAAAGTAAAATTATTGTTGTTTCTATTACCCCTATAAATATTAGTATTATTACTCCTAGAAGTATTGTTATTATAATTGTTATAAAAATTATTGTCCAATTCAAAAACTTCCCAACCAAGAGGATTATAACCATCAATCACAGTTCCGTCGGTAGTTTTAATAATCAAAATACACCCAGTCTGTCCATTACATTACTTACGTATAGCATTGGTGTCAAAACCGTCTCTACTTCCACGATAAATACGATTCATATTAAATTTATGGTTTTTTGGAATTATTGCATTGGCATGTTTTTTTTGAACCCAATTAGCAAGGATGGCCACATGTTTTGGTGTAATGATATTTGAATCATCATCAATCCTTCCATAACGGGGAGGTAAAATATCTTTAGGTCGAGCATTTGTCATATAAAAAGATATAACACTTTCAAAGAGTTCTTCAGGTAACACTTTTTCATAAGGTCGAACCTGATTATGAAAATCTTTTGAAGAAATTTCGAAGAATCGAATGTAAGGGATAAACGCGCTCAAAATTTCCTTCAAAGCCATGAAGTCCTCATCAAACCAATTACTTAAATCGATAAAGCACAATCCCGTAGTTTGGGCAATTCCCCATCGAATGAGATGATTCCATAAATCAATTTCGTCAATTTGTAAATCTCCTTTAACCAAATCGAGTAAAACACTTTTTTCTAAAAGTTGGAAATTCCGGCAAATTAAAAAATGGTATAGAATCATCACAAATACATCCTAAACAATAATCTTGGAGCATTTTGCAACTTTCCAGTTGGAATAGTTTTTGATGAACCTTGACTAAATTTCGTTGTAGCCATTCATTTTGTTCTTCTATCAAAAGTTTTTGTATAAAATTAGTCAATTCCTCAAGAAGTAATCATCAGACGCTATAAGTAGGTCAAAAATGTCCATAGATCGTCTTCTCACATCAAGAATGCCAGTATACATATATCTAAAAGAAAAAAATATTCTATCGTTAGGTACAAATTTCATATAATTGCTGATACATCATGCGCCCTCACACATTATAAGAAAAACAAAAATAAATAAATAAAACTTACCTAATAATCATTTCAAAGACATTAGGAGAAATATTCGGTTTTTTAAATTCGATCATACAATTGTTCTCTATAGCCCAATCCTGAGAGAGAGAGCTCTTTTAAAGTAAGGTGATCGAGCTCTAAAGATAACAGAGTGAGCTCGAAATTCTTTTGTATACGGACTCTCTCCAACTTCAATTTTAACATTATAATCATCTGCATCATCAAGCAAATGAGAAAATCTTTGAGTAAATTCAGCTAAAATTCAAAGGTCATTTTTTAAGAAAAATTTCAATGCAATAAATAAGGTTTTTTTTTTTTAAAAAAAAAAAATAAATAAAATCTTAATGTTAAAGGTATTTATTTAAATGTAATTCATGTTTCACGAATGTGTGATATGTTATTGTCTGATATAAATGGATATTGTGGTGGCGTAATACTTCGTATAATAAGATTCTGCGCAAGGTTATCATTTAACATATTTTTTAAATGTAATGAAATGTGCAAATATATTATTGTTGCCGATCATTTATAATTTTGTCGCGTTACATTATTATTTTTTTTTGTTTTTAAAATAAAAAGTCAAATTTAATTTAAAAAAGCAGAAAAGGTGAAGTATGGCTGTATTTTAATGTAATTATTGACTCACAAGAGTAATCTACAATAATTTTATTTTCAATAAAATTTTGTAAAATAATATATATTACTATTTTTGGTATTTGTAATAAAATCATATTATTTAATTATTAAATTTCGCATCGCCAAATAGCATTTAATTAAACTAGGGAGGCCTGAGGCATATCCAAAAACCACTGCGACCTTCGCTGTTTAAAACTTTTGGCAGCGAACCACCCAAAAAAGGACAACTTTCGAAACAAAAATAAAGAAATCAATCAATCGTTGCACCCTGAAGCGATTCCGGAAATTAAAAAAAAAAAAAGTTGAAACCCGTACTATATAACCCTGAAAGTAGATAGATGTTGGAACCGGTTTTATTTTCACAAACCGGATTTTAAACAATTTTTAATTTAAGACCCGGATTTAAACCGAATTCGAATAAACCGGGCATTCGATTGTAATAATAACCCTGAAAAAACCGAATTGCGAAAAATTTTATAAATGCAATATAATATTAATAAAATATTTTTTCTTTGATTTTGTTTAAAGAAAAAATATTAAGCTAATTACATGTTTAAATGATAGATAAAAATTACATAACTTGAGAAAAAAAAAATTAAATGATTACTATTTTTCTTTAAAAATAATATAATTTACGTTTACTAAATATAATTTTCTGCGTTTGAAAGCAATCTTTTGCTAGGTACAGAAGTTGAGAAATAAATAAATATTTGATGAGATAAAATATAAAGCTGCTTTTGTTTGCATCGCACCACTTTAAAGGATCTTCTGTAGTATTTATTGGCCGAAATTCGAATGAAAAATTCATTAAAATCGCACAAAAATATACATAAAAATTGGCTTGTCGTCGAAATAAAATGAAAATAATTTATTAATTTATTTTTTTAAAAACAAAATTAAGTTTGATTTTAATGCATAAACAGGTTTAATCTTAGTAAACTTGGATTAAAAAATAAACAGAATGATTAAATGTAACGCGTTATTTTTATATTATTAGCGGGGAGTGTATCGTAACTTTGTTATTAAATAATTACATAATTATAAATTTTCTTTTACATCAATGGTAAAAATATACAAAGAACATTCTTGTTCATTTATTTAAAATCACAATATGCTAATATGCTTGCGCTTAGCCAGACATATACTAACCTATAACTGTTTCTCTCGGACACTGCGCAGAGGGGGCAAGCCTTGTTCGGGTTAAAAAAAGTCATATAACACAATCAAAAAAAAAATACCACAGGCAAAATATTATGACGTTAATTATTAACAGTATAGATAAGGGAGGAAATCCCCTAATACCGAGGAAAACCAAAAACAGAGCAGGCAATATAAAATGTAGCCCTAAATCCCAAAATAACTCGGTAAAAAGATCTCTAGCAAAGCTTCAAAGACCACTGGTTCATTACTCACTTTAAAAGAATTTTTCACAGGAAATTAAAGCTGGATAGACTGGAAACCGGGTTATTTGGCCATAGGCAAAAACTCCTAATACTCCTCTTTATTTTTGGTGGTGCACCAAAGATAAGAACTCGGAAATCTTCAGGAAAACAGTCATTTTATATTGTATAATATAGAAAAATGTATGTTTTATACTTGAAAAGTAATACAAAAAAAAGAAATAAATAGAAATATACCTTCTGTGTTGAAATTTCCGGTCTGTGAGAAGTGGGAAAGCGATTTTCATGCGGAATTATGAATATATCGGCGAAATTATATTCAATGTAACAATAGCAAATCTACCGCATAATTCGCTAATACTACTAATATTAAATTCGAACAGTTCAATGACTCTCATGCCACGTGCACTTGGTTAAAAAAATAAAGTCCGAAAATTTGGGTTGATAACATTTCATTAACGCCTCAATCATCACCATCTATACAATATTTCATGGCAATTATAATCAGTTCTTTACGTTTATATTATAAACAAAGGAAAATTAAGCAGGAATGTGAATTATGATGTAAAATTTATTTAATAAATTCAATTATCAAATGTTGCCTCAACGTCGGCGATCTTGATGTTAATTAAAAACTAAGAACAAAAAAAAAGAAAGGTTCATATATTGAATAAAAGGATGATGTTGTGTATAAAAAAAATGACCTGACGTGTACCTATTCTTATAATAATTTATCGACTAATCTCATATGAAAATTTAATTTCTTATACCCTCATACTTTTGTCTTTCCGTAACTACTTGACAAATTTAATTAGATACTACATCTGAGTTTTTTCCATCAACCGATCTTTCCACATCTGGAATTTTTTTGCTATAAGGATATATCACACTATGATTGTTGAAAGCGTTTAAAACCAAGAGTTTTGTAAAAAGAATAAAAAGAACACTTAAAATAATTTAAAACACGTTATCAATACCGTATAATTTTATTTTAAATCAATATTTTCTGCGGATTCCGCCCTCAGAACGTTAATTCTGGTTACACTAAAATTAAATTTTTTTTTAATTATTTCACAAATGAGGAAATTAAACTTCACGTGTTAATGTTGTGCCACAAAATTTAATATCGTGTAACATCGATATATACAACATATAAACAGCAATTTAACGTGCAGTTACTTACATCGTTTATGGAGTTGTTGTACCCCAAATTAGTAAATGTTCGAAATGCGAATTTGGGATATTCCAAATGCGAAGATCGTTTGGGATATTTGCTTGCCCCACAATATCCCAAATGCACGTTTCGGATAATATCCCAAATGTACATTTTGGATATCCAAAATACTAATGTAAAGTTTATTTACATTTTTATTTACAATTTAAATAAAAATAAAGATTTATAAATATAAATATTAAATATATAAATAATTTAAATTTGCCATTAATTTATTTTAAATAAAATATAAAATACAAGGTTGTCATTTAATAAACTCAAATCATTAGTGGTCATTTAGGACAGTCCGAAATGAATCAGATTGGTCTTTTGGAATATTCAAAATGCGCATTTGGGGCAAGCGAATATCCAAAACGATCTTCGCATTTGGGAAATCTCAATTGCGCATTTCGACGCATTTGGGGTACAAAAGAATTGACTTTTTTTTGACTTTTTCTCTTATTGTTTGTAACAATAAAATAATATTAAAAAAAAAAGTCAAAAAAAGTCAATTTGAAAAAGGTTCATGTTTTTGGCGTAATCCGGTCCGGCACTCTTAATAAAATAAAAATATATTGAAACTTCAATGTCTGAAAACAATTCAAGAGAATATGAAAAACAAATACGGGAGCAAAAATTTGGATTGTGTTCAGATTGCAATCAACCAAAAACTTATTATATATGGTGTCGTAATTGCAATTCCAAAAGATTTCAGAAAGATTTTAATAAATGGACTAGTGGAAACAAGCGTATTGATAAATTTATTCAAGATGCACTATTAAGGGCAAGAAATAGTGACGAATTAATCGAATGGATTCCTTATGACCATTTGAGAAATATACAATACCTTGTTCAAGGTGGTTTCAGTACCGTTTATAAGGCCGTTTGGATCAATGGACACATTATGTGTTGGGGTGCTAAAAATAGTCAGTGGGAAAGATACTTTTATTCAGTTGATGATATAGATTACCTCGAAGCAAAGAATAAACATACTAAATCACCCCTTAAAGAAAATGAAAAAATTGGATTACGGGTCATATTGAAAAGTCTGAAAGACCCTTTGAATTTTGATGGAAAATTTTTGAATGAGGTAAATGATGATGATTCAGATTCAAAAATAATATCATAATTATCTAATTAATACTTTTTATTTATTCTAGTGGCAAAACTATTTAGAATTTATATATACGGTTCAAAATCATAGAGAAAATGTGGCAATTAAATTGTTTGGAATAACCAAAGATCCGGTTATGTCAAATTATATAATGGTAATACAAACGATGAATTTTGGAAATTTAAGATCTAATTTAATGATTAAAAAGTATAATCCAAATGATAAATATAATAATTTGTATTTGATATCAAGATCACTTATGGTTCTACATAAATGTAATTTGGTTCATGGTGATTTACATGGTGGTAATTTGCTTTTATCAAATCAATATGAGATGTACCTTGCTGATTTTGGATTAAGCAAGCCAGCTGGTAAATCAAATGAAATTTACGGAGTGCTTCCTTATATTGCACCTGAAGTTTTGCGTGGAAATCCTTACACGAAAGCTAGTGATATATATTCCTTTGGAATTATAATGTGGGAAATGACTTCTGGTATGCCCGCATATCATCATATTCCTCATGATTTTAATCTTTCTTTAGATATTTGCCGAGGACTAAGGCCGAAAATTAGTGAAGGTACTATGTCTGAATATGCGGATTTAATGAAAAGATGTTGGGATCCTGAACCCAATAACAGACCAACAGCTGAAGTACTGGAAGAATACTTCAATAAGTGGCAATCCAATCCCAAGTATAGTTATAACTCAAGAAGAATTTCCGTGCCAGGTAACTAGTCTAGTTTACATGAGTTGATTAACTATAAATATCAATAATAAATTTTTTTTTTTTATTATTATAGAAAATGATCTTGTTATTGAATATCATCCATTGTCCAGTTATACAAGCAGAAAAATTGATTATTCTGCAAAATTAAATGAAATTATTAATGAGAATTATTCCGATAATATGACAATAAGAAGTTTAGGTAATTTTATGTTTAATTATGTTCATTTTATTTATTCATTTATTTTTTTCATCTTATAATACATTTTTTATTTCAATTAAAATTATTTAGAAGATTGCATAATTACTGATTTAAGAAAAATTTAATTTATTTTAATAAAATCTTATTCTTTTTAACGGTCCTTAAGCTTGAATGCAAAAATTAAAATGATGAATAAATTTAAAATTATTTTAATAGACAGATTAATTAATTTTTTTAGCGGTGACTTTGAAATTTAAATAATTTAATATTACCCACTATTAATTTCTAATTCGCAAAGTCATCTCAGGCTCTGGTTCGACGCCAGATTTCTGCCAGTCGATAAAAAGATAATTACGTACGTCCTATTATAATATCGTCGCAAATTAACCGTTATAGGATTTATTCGAAGCAACTTAAATACATTCAAAGAACTTATTTTGAAGCATCACATCATAATATTTTTGATATGTTTAATACCCTTATAATAATCATTATGAAAAGTAGGAATAATTTCATCACCTGTTAATAATTTTCATTCTTGATAAAGGTAAAAGCAACTTTCGTCGAAAAGAACCAAGATACGGTATTCTATTTTGCCAGATGGCGGCTTTCAATAATGGTGTAAACTGCATCATATACAGTTCCGAGTCGATAGTCAACTTGAAGTGCCAGTACTTGAAAAATTGCAATCTCTAATACACATGGAACAACTTCTATCTCATCAAAGACAATATGGAAGTCACAACAATTTTTGTTGGATTTTCGCATCTAAAATTATGACCGCCCGATAAGGTTGAAGCTCTCAAAAATGAAGGTGTAATAGGACATAGAAAATATCAATCTTCATATAATAACTTTGATTTCAATAACAGAGAGCATTATGTCGAAAGTGAGGCAACACTTGATCGATAAATTAATTTATTGAATAATTTTTTACATCACATAATTGCTCAAATAAAAATCTTCTGCTTATATTTAAATTGTTTATAAATAAAAACGCAAAGAACTGACAATTTAAAACCTAAATTTACTTTTTTGTCTCTTTACTACGACAACAAAAGATAATTCGTCTTGGATTTTATCTATCTAAAATTTCTGAGTAATCAATTTTTAGCTTTTAAAGACTTTTAAGAAATTGCTGCTCATTCCTATATAAGACATTGAGACTGGATTAGGAAGCATTATAAAGTTTATTTTATTTTTAACTACATAATTTATAGTTTACAATTCCAAAAAACTATTTTGATTACAACGCCTAAACTAGGGATTTTAATGGTCACGGTCATAACCGATGACCGATATCGGACTTCTTACCGATCGAATCGGTCGATCAGTCGACCAAACGTTTTAATTAGTAACTAGCATGTCGCATATGCTTCACGTTACTACCGTTTATCATATACCACATTGCGGTTATGATGTAAGAAAATAATCAAGGTTAAAGATAGCGTTGAGCAAATTTTTATTTTTATTTAGGATGGAATATCAAATAAAGAGTCACGGTCTATTTAAAGATTAAAGTTTGGAATAGTTTGGAATTAATTTTAGATAGGTAAGGGGATAGTTGCTATTATTCAAGACGATGATATTCATTTATTACATTTTGATCGGCTTTATCAAGCGTTATAATTTGAATCTTTTCCCAGTTAGGACACCTGCTCAAGAAGGTATATGCTTGGCCGGCAGAGAATATTTGATTGTCTAAACTGAAAACATGATTTAGAGTGAGACCTTTGTAATAAATAATGATTATATTTTTACCAGGTTATGTGTAAATTGTTATTATATAGCACAGTTCTTACAATTTCTATATCAGAATATTTTTTATTTAATATTGTTGTTGTTAGTTTTTAATTAATTTTGTTTAAATAAATAAAATAATAAGTTGTTTGCGTGTGAAAATTTTTATTATATTCATAGTGACGCTAATTTTG